TGCAGCGCACCACACCTCTCCGTGGACAGCCTGGCTCCTTCTCTGTTTCCAGGTCTCAGCTTAGTCAGGACATCCTTGGAGAGGACGTGACCAGCTGCCCATCCAGGATCCTGGTACTCTGCCAACATCCCCAAATTATGACCTTCACAGCACTCCGTTCGGTGTGCATATTTACATGTGCACTGCCCCTCACCCCACTGGCCTCTACAGGTCACATCTGCTTGTCCAGTACTCAGTACTCAGTCCCTGGCATATCAAAGGTGCTCATGCACAGATGAATGACCTCATTATCCCCAGCACGCCTCTCCTCACCCGGCAATTGGGCGGACCTACTGAGCTCTCGCTTCTTCAGATGCCTTGTGGCCAACAGCAGAGGCTGAAAGCTATCCAGGCCACAGCAGGCTGTACCTCTGCCCCAGCTTCAGCCCAAGCACCCGAGGCCTTGCCACACCTCGCCTGCCCCAGCAGTGTGCATGCCTTCCTGTCCTCAGGACTCACAGAGCCAGGTAATCCAATGAACAGAGAGCACCAGACCCACACTGAAAGGCTGCCTGTGTTCACAAACCCGATGTGTGGGGGTTTAGCTTGGCATTTAGAGCTAAGTGTGGCAGGAATTCCAACTCTGACAATGGCAGAAAGCACCAGCCCTTCAAGAGCCAGTGAGCCAATGGCCCAAGAGTAAACAAGCCCACAAGAGGCAGGGCCGCCGGCCTTCTGGTTCTCATCACCCACCTGCTGCCTCTCCCTCCTCCATGACCACCACTCCAGCACAAGCCACCATTGTCCCTTACCTGCACTCTCCCCACAGCCCCCTCCTTGGTCTCCTGCTTCTGCCCTTTTCCTGGCCGCCCGCACCTCTCTTCAGCAGAGCAAAGTAGCCCTGCTAAACTGAGGACAGACTGTGCCACACCATCCACTCCTCCACAGCTCCCCACCCCCCAGAACAAAACAACGGCCCACAGCCTGCTCTGACCACGCAGCCCTGTCCTTCTCTGTCAGCTACAGTCACCCTGGCCCCTTGGTGTGCTCACACCAGCCTTGTTCCCAGAACAGAACCTCTGCACTTGCTCACCCCTCTGCCTGGACCCCTCTTCCTCCAGCTACCTGGGAGCTGTGCTCTCGGCTCCCAGAGGACTGTACTCAGAAAGGCACCTTCTCAGTCACAGGTCCCCAGCCACTCTGTCGCCACGAAAGCCTCCCACTGCACCTGGCTCGGAGCTACCCTCCCTTCCTCCCTGCAGGATTTTAGCTCTTTGGACAGAGCACAGATCTTGGTTGGTTTTGTTCACTGAGCTGATCCTGGTATATGAGTTACAGAAGTGTTAACCTGATGATTGACTTTACCAAACTCTCAACAGACCTCTCCCTTTTTCATCAAAAAGAGTGAAACTAAGCCAAGCAAATCGTCTCCTGAACGTCACAGCCACCATGCCTAATGCAACCCTTCACATCACAGGAATGGCATGAATTGGAGAATATCATACAGATAACAGGAAGATGACTAAAATCCACTGCTCTCCCCAGCCAGAGGTCCCTCTACCATATCACACTTGCCAGCTCACCTAGGAAAGAAACCTCCAAGAAAGCCTCGAATACACACAAGACCAGGGAGTGCACAGAACAGAGGGGTTTTCCAGTAAGACCATCTCCCATGCAGCAACTCTCTTGGTCAAATCTTTTCCTCTGCCCAGGTTAATGTGGGAGACAGCTGGAATCAACCAGTATTTCTCAGTCCTTAACAATGCAAGATGAGAGAGGCACACTTCCTAAAGTGGCAGAGCTCATAGCCTGACGAAGAAGTCAGTATATGATGGGGTGCTTGAGTCCAAGCTGCATATGAACTGGCCAGGCTTTAAGGAGATGGGCTGCAGATGAATTTTGAAAAGTAAAAGCTAGGCCAAAGGGAGGGAAGGAGCAGTCCAGTCAGCCAGATGAGCAAGAAAATGAGAAGCTCGCACAGCATAATCGGAAGACCCTTGAAGGCAAAGCAGGTGTGACCAACATGCTGAGTGGGACCAGGTTATGCAGGCCTGAGCTGGCACACACAAACACCTACGGCACAGGAATGACTACAGTCCTCAGTCTCTCCTGTGAGAGCCTACCTCACCAAAGACAGACACCCCCCCCCCCCCATTTGTTGCTGTGCTGTCCCAGGCACTTCTGAGAGCAGCTCCTGTTACAAAATCGCAGGGGATTCCTGTGCACACCACGCATTTCGAGGAACCGGCCACCATTTTGGGGAACCGGCCAAAGAGCTTTAAAACCAGTCTGCCTTGACGAGTGTCACTCAGAGGACAAAGCAGTGTTTTGCAAATGACAACCTTCCGGTAGACATAACACTGATGGGCACCAAGAACAGGGCAAGGCAAACACTAAGTGCTCAAGGAGTGTCATCTACATCCTCATCTGCACTGTCAAGAGATCTGCTTTGCAAAGCTCCCTCCACTGTCCGGAATTCTGAGGTAGGATTCGGTTGTCTCCTCCCCAGGCTTCTCCATTTGAGGCAAACAATAGGGAGACCCACTCGAAAGGCAGGCAAAGCCACGGAGCAGGAGCCTGGCTGGAGTTGTAGCACTGCCCTTGTGCAGGTGAAGACCCAGGATGTGGGCAGTGAACAAAGAAGGAACAGGGCACGCCCTCTGCAAATCCCTCTTCCCCAGAAACAGGCACACAGCCACGGGCAAGGGCTACAGAAAGGAAAGGTAACACAGCGGCTGGGCACACAGCGCAGTACAGGATCCAGGCCCTCCCCAGTCCTCCCTCTTCAGGGAGCCTCTGGCAATTCACAGGATTCCCCTGCGATTCTATAACACAGGAGCTGCTATCAGAAGTGCCTGGGACAGCACAGCAACAAATGGAGGGGGGTGTCTGCCTTTGGTGATGTAGGCTCTCACAGGAGACCAAGGACTGTATTCATTCCTGTGACTGCCATAGCAAACCACCACCAACAGCAGAAATGTATTCTCTCTTAGATCATGAACTCAAGACTGCAGGCTGTGAGGTCTTAAGGTCTTTGTCTACCACTCTGCCTTCTGATGGTCCCAGCAACCCCTGCTTCCCCTGGCCTGTAAGCACATCATTCCAATCTCTGCTTCCATCCTTGCATGGCCATCTTCCTACTGTTTCTGCATCCACATTTCTACCTTCTTACAGGAACCAGTCACTGACTTAGGACCGCCATAATGCTATGACCTCATCTTAGCTTGATCACATCTACAAAGACCCTATTTCAGGTAGGGCCAAAGTCACAGGTTTCCGGGTAGACATATATTTGCAGAAAATGCTATTTAATCCAGTACCAAGACAAACTATCAGGTCAGGCGTAGTGACAGTCTCAGCATTCAGGAGGCTGAGGCAGGAGGATCCAAGCTCAAAGCCAGCATTCTCTTTAAGAGACCTTGTCTCAAAAGAAAAAAAAAGACAAACTACTAAGACATATAAAGTCTTTCCTCCAAAGACTTTATTTACTGTTGTAACTCCACACAGTTGATTCTTAAGAACAAATCACAGTTCAGACTGAAGAAGCAAAGCCTCAAGACCTAAGAGCAACGCTGCTGCTCTTTACCCAGGCTAGGCTCCACGTGCGGCCTTGAAAGAGCTCCACCCACTACGATTCCAGTATCTGCCCCTCGTCTTAACCCGTGGCATAGGTTCTGATAAACGTTCACTGTTCGAACAATCCAGCCCTGGCACAGCAGAAATAGGGTGTCTGGTCACCTCACTCCATCTTCCAAATCACTGTAATGGAGCAGAAACTCCCAACCACTGTGAAAAGTACATTTTCTGGCTGGATACAGTGAACGTCAAAGTCCAGTTCTAACACTCCCACAATAGCTTCTATTATGAAACACAGGAGCACAGACCATTTTCTGTGCTTATGAATGGTCTATTTAAGTAACTTTAAAGTCAGAGTCTTAAGTTTCACTAGCTCAGACTTTCTTTGGGGGACAGAATAAACTATGTTTTGAAATCTTCACATGTGCATCTCTGTAATTTGGTCTCTCTGGTGACTGACTTTATCCTGGGTATCTTCCTAGTACTGTCTGAGGTTCCCTGAGGCCTAGAAAGGGGTCAGGGCTGTGACCAATTAGAGAAGGACTTTGAATCTGTAGCGCTTCCAGAAGACCTAGTGGCTATCAGTTGACTGCAGTTTTGAGGCCAGAAAGTGGGAACTAGAAATCCACAAGGCACCTCTAACCCTCTTCTATGCTCAAACAGGCAAGAGAAATGAGACGGTGTGGCTGAAGAGACGGCTCTGCGGTTAAGAGCACTGGCTGCTCTTGCAAAGGACCCAGGTTCAAGTCCCAGCACCCACATGGCGGCTAACAATCACTTGTGACTACAGTTCCAGGGGACTCGACGTCCTCTTCTGACCTCCACCCGCACTGCATGACATGAGCACACTTACATGCATGGAGGCAATACACTCATACACATAAAAAAAAATATTTAAAAACTGAGAGATGAGAAGGCAAATCAAGTGGGTCCATCCACCCCACATTCTGGGGAAACCCACCTCCCAACTGTGAGCAGTTTCCTGCCACCACCAAACTCTCCGGAGCATGCAGGCCCTGAGTTCTCCCTTCGGGCTTCCCTGGGGAGCTCTGGCAAAGGAAAACCCAGCAGGCTGCAGACAGGCTCCGGGCAGCTCCTCATCCTCCTCCCTCCTGGGGTGCAGACCCCGCACCCGACGGCGCCCAGCCTCCCCTGCCCAGACCCCGACCCCGACCCCGACCCCCCAGCAGTCAGGCAGCCCACACGGTCCCTGACCCCGACCGCAGTCCACTGGGCTCCTGACCCCCGACCTTGGCTCCACCGGCAGTCCTCACGACTCTGACCTCTGACCCCAGGCCCCGACCCCACCCGAAGCCCACTCAGTCCCTGACCCCTGACCCTGACTGCAGCCCCACACAGCCCTGACGCCCGACCCCGCCCGCAGCCCACACGGCCCCTGACCCCGACTCCGACCCCACCCCCGCCCGCAGCCCCGACACACCCACCTGCCCGGGACCTTGCTGGTGCTGCGCTTCCAGAACTGCTTCCTGGCCCCGTCGCTGGCCATGGCCCCTCGGCATCCCTCAGCCCGCGGTCCTGACGCTCCCAGACGCACCGCCCGCCCACTCCGGTCGCCCGCCGGCCCCTCAGCGCTCCGGGAACTCCCGAGCGTAGACCCGAGCGGCTCTTCCGCCTCCGTCCGGAAGTTGTTTCTCCTCGCTCCCGGAAGTCCCGCCCTCGTCGCAGGCCACCACGGCGTCATGAAAAGGCGACGCTGGGACGTGCACGCTGCGATTGAGCAACCGAGGACGCGGAGCCCTCGGGTTCGGGGTTGAGGGAGGCGAGGGGAGCTTGGGTCGAGTTCGGCCGGGGCCGCCGGGGCGGTCGGAAGCCGAGTGTGGCCCAGGTCCTGACCACGCAGCGGGGACGGAGGCGCAGGCCGCAGGGCAGGCCATCCAGCTGGGATTAGTGTACAGCGCAGGGCAGTGACGGACCAGCAACAGCTGGAGCATTTCTAGGGTGATGGGGAGCCGCCCACGCTTCACCGTAGGTGAAGGGGGGTCACCCCAGGCTTCCCCCGAGGTGATAGGGAGTCACCGCAGGTTTCATCCAAGGTGATGGAGAGTCACCCCAGGCTTCCCCCCAGGTGGTGGGAAGCCGTCCAGGCTTCACCAGAAGTGATGGGGAGTGAAGTGTGCTGTGTGAGGTGCACACAAGATTCCAAAGGCTTAGTATGGAAATACTAATTTTATAATTTCATATTGGGTAATACTTTGTATATATTATGTGTTCCATAAACATATATTGTTCAGTTTACTCTCTTATTTTTATTTTATGTGTTTGCCTGTGTGCATGTATATATGCCCACCACGCAAGTGCCAAGCCAGTGGCGACCAGTAGCAAGCATTGAATCCCCTGGAACTGAAGTTATGGGTGGTTGTGAGCCACTATGTGGAGGCTGGAAACCAAACCCAGGTCTTCTGCAAGATCAGCAAGTGCTCTTAACCACAGAGCCATCTCTCCAGCCCCAGTTGCCTGCCAAACATGGCCTTGTTCTGCTCAGAGCACAGTGAATTGTCTTCCCACATCTGTACCTTGTACCCACTAGGATCAAGGCTTTCTGCAGCTCCTGGTACACTGCAGCTCCACCTCCATGTCATAGTTTGATTCTCCACTTCTGTGACAAAACACTGACCAATACCAACTTGGGGAGGAAAAGACTTATTTGTCTTACATCTCCCAGGTCACAGTTCATCAGGGAGCCCAAGGTAGGAACTCAGGGCAGGAACCTGGAGGCAGAAGCTGGAGCACAGGCCATGGAGGAATGCTGCTTGCTTCCCTGGCTTGTGCTCATCCTGCTTTCTTAATGCAACACAGGCTCAACTGCACAGGGGTGGCACCACCCACAGTGGGCTGGGCCCTCCCACATCACTCAACAATCAAGAAGAGGCCCCCTCAGACATGGCCACAGGCCAGTCCTATGGAGGCAGTTCTCCAATTGAGGCTCCCTCAACCCAGGTGTGTCAAGTTGGCACAAAGCTATCAGCACACTCTTAGTTTATGAAAGGATGGTACCTGCTCCTTCTAATCTCAGCCACAGTGATGGCCTCAGCATGAAACAGTGAGTACACGGTTGCCGCATGCTGTAGAAGCCTCCCAGGAACCACAAGGGATTTACAATGTCAGTGAATCTTTGTCGTCCCTCAGACACAACCTAAAGAGCACAGCTCCAGGCCTCCCTGGGGTCCTGTTTGTAAAAGACCTCAGAGTTTGTAGAGGTCTGATAAAACTGGATCAGTAAGGACCTTTTCCTGACAGAGCTCCCCTGAAAGCAAGGGCAGGTGGTGCATAATCACAATCCCAACTTCTCAGGAGGCTGAGGCGGGAGAACGGCAACTTACCGAGATCCTGTCTCAAAAAAAAGTAAGAATTGGGTGTGACTGGCAGCACATGTACTAAACCTGGAACAATACAGAGAAGATTAGCATGACCCTTGCACAAGGATGACACACAAACTGCTGAGGGGCGGGAGGAGCGTGCGTGCAGCTGGAGGCCAAAGATCAACATCAGGTGGCCACTGTTGTGCTCCACCCTGTATTTGCAGAAAAGGTCTCTCACTGAGCCCACTGCTCATCAGTTCTCTAGGCTGCTCCAGGGATCCACCTGTCATTTCCCAACCCCCACCCCCAGCACTATGTTCCAGAGCACAACAGGCTTTTTACCTGGATGCCAGGGATCCAAATTCAGGTCTTTGTGCTCGTGCCACAGACACTTTACCCGTCTCCCCATCGTCGTGCTCCATATTTTAAAAATAAATGAAGCCTGAGCATGGTGGATGGTGGTGTAGCTCTGTAGACCCAGCCCTCAGAGGATCCACAAGTTCAAGATGAGCTTAGACTGCATAGCAAGACCCTCTCGCAGGAATCTTTTAGAAAATGAAACGCTGCAGACGTAGCTCAGGCATAAAGTGCTTGCCTAGCATGTGCAATGCCCCAGTTCTATGCCCAGTACTATGGAGGCTTGGGGGAAAGGCCTAGAATTTTCAAGGAGGACTCCAGGGAACTCTTCCTGACTGTAGCCCTGAGACCTCTCCAGGGATGGGCTCCATGTAGCCTCAGTGATCCGCTGCAGGCAGCACCAAAGACCAGGGAGGTTCTTTCCAGTTCAATGGGTATATCTTAAGAATGAAAAGTGAGGAGACAGCAGGATTGGAGGGACCGTGGGAACAGAAAAAGCGAGCTGTGATATCTACACAGGATGTTGACCAGTGTTTATGACTGGCTAGGTGTGGTGATAGCACTTTAGACTCGGTTGCTCCCTACAGTGGACCATAGGCTTTCCTACGTGTTGTCCTGGGGGAAGGAGTGAACCTGAGATTAAACCTGTTTGCAGCATATGTTTATGATTGGTTCATGTTAGATCTCAGCCAAGCACTGGATTAGAGAGCACACATGTCCACAAATGAGACAGGCCGGTTGAGCGGCAGAGGCCAACAGAAAACCTGGTAGGCACAGTAGTGTCACGAGTAACCAGCGCAAAGATGAAGCCCAAGTAGAGAGTCTCCAGGCAAGGCTGCAGGAAAGTGGCGTTCAGGAGAAACACCTAGGAGAGACTAGTAGGAGAGCTGCGGAGTTCGAAAAGGGACCCATGGAGCAGGACAGAAGCCCAAATACAGAACGGTCAGGCAGGACAGGAGCCCAAATACAGAACGGTCAGGCAGGACAGGAGCCCAAATACAGAATGGTCTTGTTGGACAGAGGCCCAAATTCCAAAGGTTAAGAAATACATTGAGCAGAATCATTCCATTTGGAGGTCTGAATCTGGCCATGCTCAAGCTGGTCTCAAGCTCCTGAGCTTCTGACCTCCCACCCCAGCCTCTCAGTATCTAGGACTGTACCTAGACGAAACTGCTTGAGTGGAAAGCGTTAAGAGGCTTGCATTCACTAGGAGGCATGCACATCAAAAGCACAGTGTGCCATTTCACACTGAAGTCTGGAAACACTGTCAGTGCCAGGATTGATGAATATGTGGATTTGTGAACAAAAGAGCTTCCATGCCCTGTTGGAGGGAGTTTAAATGCATTCAGTAACTTTGGCCATTTAGAAATTTCTAGTGGATAAGGGTACCCGACAAGTCAGCGATTCCTTCTGGGTACATAGCCTGGAGCAGTGTGCTCAGCTGTGCAAAGACAATGTTGATTGTGTCATTGCTCTAGTGGCGGAGGGGGCTGGAGAGAAAAGCAATCAAAATGTCATCTGCAGGAGAGGTGACAAATCACTTTCCCAACAGAACACTGTATGATAATAAAAATGAATTTCATGTGCATGAACGCTAATGGTTTCACACTGTTGAGAGAAGAGTTTATTATGAATGCATACGTATGATGCCGTTTAATAGTGTTTTGTTTTATTGACACCATTCTTTTAAGCCTGAGAAGAGAGTGGGTGCCTCTGGGTATTGATGGGACAATAATGAAGAAATTCATAGATTTGCTTGTGCCATCATGCTTTGTTCTTAGGGCAGATGGGACACATTCAGGTGTGTTCGTCTTTACGACTTTACCACATAGACAGTGTTTCACTGTACATTGAGAAGTGTTTACTGAGCTGCCCCAATGTGCACTGAGCTGATTTGAACTAAGAGAAAGACAAATTGGAATGATGAAGCAGTGAACGGGCAGCGTTTGCTGAGAGGCTTCAGGGAGGGCAGAGGACTGGTCACACTGGGACTCTTGACCACTGCTTGAGGTTGAGGTGTGACAGCAAACAGCATTGCTAAAGGAGGCAAGAGAAACCTGTACTGATGGGTTACAAGTAACAAGTGTGGCTAGAATTATGGTGCAGGAAGCTGATGGTGAGATGTGTACTTGCAGGTGACTTATTGGAGGAAGAGATGCTAAACTGATGGAGGAGAGGGTAAGGTTGGCTGAGCAGTGAGGGTGTTGATGTGACTGTCACAGAAAGGAAAAGATGGTGTACCCGGAAAGGATGCCCAGATCAAAGAGGGCTTTGAGGCTCCAGGGCATGGAGAAGGCAGAGCTGCCCAGCACCCTCGAATCTGATCTTAATGTGGTTTCTCCCTGTCTAATGGTCTCCAGAGAGTCCAGTTGCCTTGAAGGAAAAGCCACAGTTCCTGTGCATGCTTGACAGAACGTTCATGCTGAGCACTGATCACTGGGATCTCCACACTCCATCCTCATGTGTCCCACAAGCACAAACATCGAGGGGGAAAAGCTTTATCGCCCAGCACCCTCGAATCTGATCTTAATGTGGTTTCTCCCTGACTAATGGTCTCCAAAGAGTCCAGTTGCCTTGAAGGAAAAGCCACAGTTCCTGTGCATGCTTGACAGAACGTTCATGCTGAGCACTGATCACTGGGATCTCCACACTCCATCCTCATGTGTCCCACAAGCACAAACATCGAGGGGGAAAAGCTTTATGCTGCAGAGCCCACGGTTTTGCAGAGTCACATCCAGCTGTGCCCTGAGGAGAAGGGCACCATACCTTTTCCACTTGTTTCTCTGTGCTCTTGTCACCGCTGAGCACCTGGTGGGGGTGGAAAGCACCCCACAGCAAAGCTGTATTTCCTCCTCTACCATGGGCCAGTTTCAGCTCAGGGCATTCCTGTAGGGTCTGGGGAGTGAGCTGGTGCATTCCATGTGGGAGGCTCCCTTTGGAGTGTCCTGGGGCTGCTCTATCACCCAGGACTTGGCTCACACCAGGTGGAGGGGCAGCAGAACTGTATTACTCTCTTGTGGCTGCTGTTAGCGCATTTCGAGGCCTAGTGACTGAACACAACACTCATCCTCCTACGGCTCCGCAGCTCAGCTCAGCAGCTTCACGGCACTAAAGTTGAGGTGTCAGAAGGCTGGATCCTTCTATTTCTTGGGTTTTTTTCCAGCTTCTAGAGGAAACTTAGGATGTAGCTTAGTGGTTGAGCAGTTGCCTAGGATGCATGAGGCGTGGTCCTCCCCAGTACTAGAAAAAAAAAATAGTGATGAAAGTTATGTAGGGAAGACATATTTGCAGCTTCTATTGGATAAAATTCTACATATTAGAAAATTCTAGAAATCTATTGTATGAGTTAAGATGTTTCCAGATGAACAAAACATACACAGATTTAAACAATTAGAGGAAGTTACTGGTTCAATAATGAAAAGACCAAGAGGAAGTCAGGCTTTGGACATGGGCCAGCCCGGGCTGCAGGTCCTTTTGGGGGCCTGTTCTTGACCGTCTTTCCTGTGGCTATGAAAGCTTCAAGCTGGCTTCCTTCATTCTCAGGATGGCTGCCAGTAGCCAGAAGGGCTGCAGGCATCCCTGTTCAGAGCCAGGAAGAGAGCCTCACAGTGATGAAGCCATCTCTAAGCCAGTCATAGCGCCCAGGTGAATGGCCTGCCCTGTCTGGCACAGGCTGACATTCCATTTTGCCCTCTGTATCTGCAGGGCCCACATGTTTTCTGCTGTTATTATCCCCTAAATAGTGCCCTATGACAATTATGTGCATGGATTTGCATTGTATTGAGTGGTATAAGTCACCTGGAGATGATTGAAATCCATGGGAGGATTGTGTAGGCTCTGTGAAAATACTGTGCTCTCTCCATGGGTGCTCATGTATGTGTATGCACATGGATGTACAGGCCAAAGGTCAACATCATGTACCTTGCTCCATTGCTGTCCACTTTATGTTTGGAGACAGGGTCTCCCACTGAAATTGGAGCTTACCAGCGAGGTCCTTGGATCCTCCTGTCTCTGTCCCCTCCTAAGCACTCACAGAGATCCACCTGCCTCTGCCTCCCAAGTACTGGGATTAAAGGCATGCAGCACCACACCTGGCTATCCCTGTGCTATTTTATATAAGGGACAGATTGGAGCATCTGAGGAAGGGGGCCTTGGAACCAATCCTTCCTTGCAGTTACTGAGGGTTGACAGAACTTGCCATCTCTAAAGCAATCACTTTGTGAGGAGAGAGAGCCCTGATTGGCTTAGACCACTCACCCCGAACACAGAGTAGGTTCAGACCTTCTCTGCTCCCAAAGTCCGCTAAGACCAGAGTTTGTAGAGGACGGATTCAAAATCCACCCTAAGAAGGCACCAAAGTGCTAACAGCATTTCCCTCTGGGTGGGAAGCCAGCCAAGGAGACATTATCTGTTTAGAGATATTTCATGTGTTGCCAGACTCAACAATGTCTTACAAGGCTTGACTTGCACATCAGATACTTGGGGGTCAATTTTACTGCCACAAAGCTCTCTCCAAGGAGGTTCCAGCCATACCCTTCACTCCTCAGTCAAGTTTATAATTTCTTCATGTAAGCTTCTCCCATTTCAGCCAAAGTTTGTTCTCAGTGTCCTCTGCAAGGAGGATTCGACTGCTTCCACCTATGCCACCACTCGAGACATCAGATGGTTTGCCTATTTTTTTAATTAAAATTTAAATTGATTTAATGTTAGGAAAAAAAGAGGGTTAAGATGCTGGAGAGATGACTCAGCACTTGAGAGCAGTTGCTGATCTTGCAGAGGACCAGGGTTCATTTTCCAGCAC